ATATATATATATATATTAAGGGAGAACAAATAGGGAGATTTTTGCATTCTAAACTTTTTTTTAATATATGAAATCTAGAATAATGCAATCAAATAATTGATTAGCAAAGGAATTGAAATTAAACAATTATAATATGATTGTAATCAGTTTCATGTGTTGACACCCAATTTTCGACCCGCGTTGGTATAAATTAATTATCGAGCTTCATGAGTTTTCAAATTATTTAAGTTAATTAGTTTTATAAGTCTTGCGAAAATTAAAAAAATAAAAAATAAAATAAAATAAAGATATGTATATATATATATATATATATATTACATATGTATGCATATGTATATGTATATATGTATATCTTAAGTTTTGAAGGTATTCTATTAATCTAGTTTACTTTAAATCACAACTATATTTTTGAATCGTTATTTTATAATTTAAATAATTATGTTACTAAATAAATAAGCTCGTTAATAGATTTAACCAAATTCGTCTTGTTTTAAATCAATTTGCTTATATTAATTAACTCTTTTTCCCTTTTGATTCGAGTTTGGGCCTCTGCCCTTTTGTTCCAATGGCCCAACACCTTACATTTACTCCAGCCCACCTTCATTTATAATAATTCCCACACTCCCAGGCCCACCCTTTCAAACAACCCAAACAATTCCAGCCCATTTCCTTTCTTCCTCCATCCCTCAACACCCCAAGCCCACTAAATTAATTCCCAACCCGCCCACTACGTTAATTCGACCCGCCCCCGACCCAAACCCGTTTCCCCTTCCCTTCTTCTTCCCCAGCACCCCCACGCGACCCCCAGAAACCCAGAAAATCCAATCCCCAGAACCCACGCTCCATCCTCCCTCACGCGACCCCCTCCCCACGCTCTCTCCTTCCTCTTTCATCCTCGTCTCCCTCACGCGACCCCCCTCCCTCTTCTTCTTTCCCTTCTCCAGTTCCCCCCCACGCATTTTTCAAGAAAAAAAAAGAAACGCCAGCAACCTCACGCGATCTCCCCTCGCGTCTCACGCCCACGCTCGCTCTCTCCTCTCCTTCCCCTCTCGACAGAAACCCAGAAAAACAGACCGACTCCTGCAAACGCCAACAACTCCACGCTCTTCTCCTTCCATCTTCCTCTTCGCGTGAACCAGACGGAAGCGCAGAGACCCATACGCTGTCAAGTAGGTCGGCGAGGTGTCAATTTCATCCTCTCCAACACGCCTGTGCCATGTGAAGTTTGACCGAAATGGGATTCGAATTTCGAATTCAAAGGGGAGGGGCTAATTCCTCTCCTATATAAAAACCCATTTCTCTTCATCCAAAAAGGGGACATTCGGGAGAATTGGAGAGTTTATCACGAAGAGTACGAAAATTATCGAAATATTCTGGTTCTTTTCTGTCTGTAGCCGGAAAACATTGGGGATTTGATTTTAAGGTTGGAATTTTGTTGAAATTTTAGAGAGAAAAATCTGGAAGAGTGTTGGGAGTTAGAAATTTGGTGGGACGATTGAGCGAAAAATTGAAGAGAGGGAAAGAGTCGCGCAACTCAGGAGACTGAAGTCACGACCCTGTTCCCTTTGCTCGTCGGGTCGTTTTCAATACCGCTTTGAGCTCATTTGGTGGTGGAAGCTTGCTATATCGCTCGTGCTTTCGAAAAGGTAAGCTCAACTTATCCACATGTTAATGCATTATAGACATAGAGTAGTTTAATTCATTGTTTGAGTTTAACTCTGTTTGTTCTTGTTGAAAGTTTGTCTAATACGATTTCTTGTTGTTAGTATGATTCATTGTTTTTTTTTTTGTGATTCATTATCATGTTGATTTGAACTATGGAATAGTCGAGCTCAAGCACATTACTCTCTGTTATTTGGCTTTCTCCCCTTTCCTCTGAAAGTTTCTGCAAATCTGTAAAGTGATGTGGCCATGTTTACGTTATGTGCTTCTTATGGAGTCATTTTACAATCTGTTTATATGTGTTCTTTCGTTGCTTAAAGTGAGCTATTCCTTATTTGTTCATCTAGTCTAAAACTTTCACTT